CGGGACAATCTGCGCAAGGAACAAGAAACATCGTCAACTGCATGGCACGACTGACCGACTCCTGCATCACAGAGTTACCACCGCATTACTCACCGGAAGAGCAACTCGACAACAGCACGCCTCGCCGCGAGTCACTTCAACCAAACCCGACGTATGCAGCCATCGCCCAAAGCGAGCCATCTGGGAAAGATACCTGGTTCTTGGACAGTTGCTGCGGACAGCACATGTGCTCTTCAGGACGATTCTTTCAACGTGAACACCAACTTCAACGCGAAGTCGTCATCACCGTCGCCAACAACCAGAACCTGCGCACACGACGACAAGGTGTGGTGCAACTTCATTCACGAGAGACAAACGTGATACTGCAAATGTCAAAAGTGTTAATTGCGGAGGGACTCGGCTACAACTTACTGAGTGTCAGTCAACTGATGGCGAAAGGCATCCACCTCGAAGCAGATAGCACAACACAGGAGTTCAAATTGTACCACGGGAGAGGAGGTCTTTACATCGGCAAGGCTGTACTGAAGAACAACGTGTTCGTCCTCGACTTCGTCCCAGATCTTGGCACCGCTGACAGCGACGAGATCGTCACCTTCACCTCCTGGACACATCCACCGGATCTCGACCCCAACTTCATTCCCGAAGGCTTCTGGAACTCGCACATCATTCCTGAGGCAGAACGAACAAGAGCATTAGCAACGATTCAACAATCGGCAGCAGCAGAGACAACATCGGCAACAGCAGAGACAACATCGGCAGCAGCAGAGACAACATCGGCAGCAGCAGAGACAACATCGGCAGCAGCAGAGACAACATCGGCAGCAGCAGAGACAACATCGGCAGCAGGAGAGACAACATCGTCAGCAGCAGAGACAACATCGACAGCAGCAGAGACAACATCGGCAGCAGCAGAAACAACATCGGCACCAATCGCGGGTCCTTCAACTGCACCGGCTCCAATCGACGATGACACTCCACCGACTCCTGCGCAGCAATTGAACCCAACACCACGAGAAGTACATCGAAGCGCAAACTTCACCGCAAGCTTCTACTCCAACTCCGACTTATACCGTCGCTCACCCGGACATCGAGCTGGCGAAGACATCTGGCACGCACGAATGGGACATCCAAGCAACACGGTGTTAAACAACACGATCAGAGCAGGCGTGCTCGACAAAGATTCACTGCTCCTAACCGACGGAAGCGAACTTCGACGAGCTCGCGGAACGTGCTTTACCTGCCCCGAAGCTGACTTACCACATCGGCCGTTTGCTTCTCACCACAATCCCAGCGCACCAGCTTACGCACCACTCGAGAAAGTGTACAGCGACATCCTGTACAACCGCGAACCTGGACAAGCAGCATACAGCTACACCATCACGTTCATCGATGCCGCTACGCGTTACGTTTGGCACCTTAACCTTCCGAGCAAGGACATGGCTTTCGAGGCCTTCGTCGCTTGGCTCCCAGTAGCAGAACGAGAATCGAGCGTGAAGCTAAAAGGCTTCCAGTCAGACGGAGGAGGAGAATACACCTCACAGAGGTTCAAGCAGTACTTGGCAGAAAGAGGGATCAAGAGGCTCATCTCTCTTCCCTACGCTCACCAGCAGCAAGGCGTAGCAGAAAGGATGAACAGAACTCTTCAGAACACCATGCGCAAGCTGCTACGTGGCATGCGACTGCCCAACCACCAGTGGCCCGAAGCAATGGACCACGCTGTCATGCTGCACAACTTGCTCTCGTCATCATCGCTCCCGAACAACGCATCACCGCATCTGCTGTGGACAGGAAAACAGGGCAGCACAAAAATGTTAAGAGTTTTCGGCTGCATGGTACAGTACCGACCCCCATCTGCACGAGCCGGCCGATTTTCCTAACGCGCACAGTGGGGACTACACCTGGGCATCGAAAGAAATTACAACGCGTGGAAGATTTTCGACGTCCACTCCAAGGAAACAGAAGCAGCACGTGATGTCATTTTCTACGAACGACTCACCCTTCCGACGTACTTTGCCAACCTGGAAGAAGATCAGGACCCCACAGGTGGCTTCCGTGGTGACCGAGCCTTCGCCTCGGCAGCAGACGAAGCTGACTGGGACGAGCAGAACGTGGATGAAGCCTCGGAGGAAGCCGGACCTCTCCCTTACTGCTCCGTCGACGTCCCAATGGATGACGAAAATCCTCGCGAAAGCGCCAACGCCGAAGTATTTTACCACTTCGCCGACAACGGTTACATTACACCTGCAGAAGTCAACACCAACGAAGCAGAACGCATAGGGCCCAACTTCATACCTGATTCAGAAGCAGGTGACGAAGCAGCTTATCCCACGGACACAACACTCCCCCGCTACACACAGAGTGGCCTCCAGATACTCGGCCTCGTCACCGCGGTCCACGGCACGGAGGTTCCTAAGGAGCCTGCCACGGTTCAGCAGGCTCTGGGGGGGGAGCATAGAGAGAAATGGCGCGAAGCCATGGACAGGGAGCTGAAAGCACTTGAGGAGCGCAACACTTGGAAAGTCGTTCCCATCAGCGTGGCACAAAACAAGACAATACTCACCGGGAAATGGGTTTTCCGTGTGAAGACAAAGGCAGATGGCACCATTGATAAGTTCAAAGCGCGCTGGGTCGTACGCGACTTCGACCAAGAGCACGGACGCGACTTCACCGAGACATTCGCCCCGGTCAGCCGACACACCTCGCTGTGAATTCTCCTCGCGATCGCCGTCATGAAGAAGAAGAAACTGCGACAAATTGATGTCGCCAACGCATTTCTCTACGCACCTGTCGACGCAGAAATCTTCGTCGAACTACCACATGGCTCCAACGGAGAGCCTAACCAAGTCTGTCAGCTGTTGAAGTCGCTCTACGACATCAAACAAGCCCCGAGGCTATGGCAACAGTACCTGCACGCAAGACTTATCCGCATAGGATTCCGCCAGTTACCTCACGACCAAGGGATGTACCGGCTTACAAAAGGCACCGATTGCATCCTACTAATCGTCTACGTAGATGATCTACTCTACATCGGGTCGACCGACAACGTCACTACCTGGTTCGAAGGGGAGCTACAAAAAGATCTCACGCTCACAGTCTCATCTACCGTTACGCAGTACCTGGCCTCAACATCCAGGAAGAAGAAAGCGCGATCTACCTCAACGCCACGAAATAAGCCGACACCATCGCCAAACGCTTCGCACTCACGCCGACCACCATCTCCACGCCATACCGCTACACGGCAGGAAATAACAAGGAAGGATCCGCTCCACTAAAGCCCGCCGCCATACGCGGCTACCAGCGAAAACTGGGATGCCTCCTCTTCGCAGCTGTCACCTGCCGTCCGGACCTCTCGTACTCTGCAAGTCAGCTCGCAACCTACCTCAAGAAACCTGAAACAAAACACATGGCGGAACTCGACCGCGCTCTCCACTACCTCGTCGGCACCTCAACCGTCGGTCTAACCTTCCACAAGTACGGGACTACGACACCTAAACTAATCGGCTACGTCGACGCCGATCACGCCGGCGACTCCGACAACAGACGCTCTCGCACCGGCTACATCTATCGCCTCGAGCCTATCGGACCCATCTCCTGGCAGTCGAGCAAGCAGGAGTTAATCGCTCTCTCCTCAGCTGAAGCTGAATATATTGCACTCTGCTCAGCCACCAAGGAAGGACTGTACCTTCGCGAACTTCTGGAGGAGGCGAAGCTGGCTCAGTTACCCAGCTTCTCCCTGTTCTGCGACAACCAGTCGGCAATTCGCATAGCCAACAAAAATGGATTCGCGAACAGGACGAAACATATTGCCCTGCGATATTTCTTCGTGAAGGATGAGATTGAGAAGGGGACTCGAATTGTTCTACTGCCCCACGTCCGAGATGGCAGCTGATTACTTCACCAAGAAACTCGGAAAGCAGAAGTTTGAGTACTGCATGCTGCTGACTGGACAGAGCCACGTCACCAGCAACGACACTCCAGAAGCGAAGGGGAGTGTTGGAAACAAGTAACTAAGCGCCTCTGTCGTGTCGAAACACCAAGTCAGAAGCGAAGCGAAACATATCGAAGCATCAGCGAGTCAACCCTCGGAGGTTGAACAACTGCTGGAGGTTACGCGAAAGTCAAAGGTCAGCGACCTTTGACCTGACAAGTACAGCGCGACAGCAAGGACAAACAACTGACTCGCTATTGAGCAGTTGCCCGAGTCGTCACTGTATCGAACCGCAACAGCAAGCAACAGCAAAATAGTTATTAGTTATAACTCTTCATATTCCCTTGTACTCTTATAAAAACTTGTATCCCTTTTGCAATCTACTTTGCCCTCACATACCAGCGCAAGGTGGTTCACAAACTCCTCATTAAACGCTTCCGCTATTACATTGTTCTACTCAGAGTTTAGTCCTGCAAAGATCCTTAGGGCTTTCTCAGCCCAACAGAGTTCACTTGTGTGTGCACTTGGAGGTCGCCAATACAAGCTTTTCTCTGTTCACCGTAGGTGACCAATCAGGCCTACGGTAGAATGGTTGCAACACACCGCTAGCTAATCCCAACCAAACACCACTAGCTATAAAAACTTGTGTGGAGGTTCATTCTTCACAACTGGGACCTACCATCTGCCTACCAAAATCGCCTCCCTACATATAAAAGAAAACAGCACCAAGACAAATGGTGCCAGCGAGACGAGGTTAGTAAGGATAACATCCATTCATCATTCCCACTCCGCATGTAATGTGACGCACTGTGCTCCCAGCTGCTGCCCGGCCAGCCCCTCTTGCCCCCCCATCCCCCACCAGTTCCTCGTTTCCTCTCGACAGCCAGCGCGCATGCAACGCGCCCACATCACCGTGAACCTCTCATCTCATCTCACCAAGCGCCACCAGCACGCACCCTGCTCTTCTCACTTCCATACCCCACACCAACCGCGCCTTTCCTTGGCCGCTCCCTACCACGCCACTCTCCCTTCCCTGTCCACCCCACCCCCACCCCGGCCGCGCCACAGCGCATCAGGTGGAGGGCAGGTTGGCGAGGGCCTTCTTGGCCACCATGGCCAGCAGGCGGTGCACCTGGCGGGGGTCGCGCACCGAGGGCTTGCCGGCACCCGTGCGCCCCATGGGGCCCGCACGCCCGTCCGCCAGCGTGAGGTAGTAGGCCAACCCACAGGCGTCCGCCAGCTGGTGGAATATCGCCTCCCCGTCCCTCCGAGGTCGGATCTCCAACACCGCCCCGCCTGCACACCCAGCGGGTGGACGGGGGGAGATTGGGAGAGAGGGCGGTGGAGAGGGGGTGGGCAAGAGCAATGGCCGTGGTGGCACGCAGAGGGAGCAGCAGCAGGTGGTGATCGGCGGGTAGGTGGTACAGGCATTGAGGCGGAGCACGTGGTTGCTCAAGTGCACGTGGAGATGGTGCTATGCCAGCATGGCCACCTGCGTGTCATGCGCCACAGGGAATGACGCGCACCCCGTGCACTGTTTGTACCACCATGCACGCCACATCCCCTCTCCCACCCCCAACACTCTCCCTCACACACCCCAGTCATTCACACACACTCAGACCTTCCAGTCACTCAGTCTTGAACCCTCCCCTCACTCACTCCCACTGTCAGCCACTCCCTCCCCCCTTTGGCACTCGTACCAGGCGGCATGAAGACCATGTCAGCGAGGATGTTCCCATGCACGGCCACGAGCACTCTTGCACGGTTGAGCAGCGCCTTGCGCGCCGTGAACGACAGCGACCCCTCCTTGTACACCACGATGCGCTGCGCCGGCACGTACTTGAGCATCTGCTGCTGCAGCTTCAGCGTCTCCACGAGCGGCTTGCGCTCGTCGCGCACGCCCAGCACCACCACCCAGTCCGCCCCCACGCCCGTCACCTTCTCCGCCTTCCACTTGCGGTACGTTGTTTTGAACTCCGCGTCTGCCCTCACGCGGAGGAGGACAAGAATGAGACGCATGCGGGTGTGGTGGGTTGGGGAGAGTGAGGGGAAAAGGGAATGGGGAGGAGATTCATTGGCAGGACAAGAAGCGAGTGGACGAGGTGGACGGGATGTGGGAGAACATGAATGAGTGGGGTTTCATGAGAGGGGTGGGTGGTGCTTCATAGAGGTGACCACGCCACGGTACAGGTTTCATTTGGCAGGCAGGCGGGGTAGGTGGGGGTTAAAAGTCGGGGGTGGGAGGTGGGTTGCGGAAGAGAGCTGATGTGGGAAAAGGAACAAGGGAGTGGAAAGAGTGGCACAGGTGCAGTGTGGCAGCGAAGTTTGGTTAAGATGCTGGATTACTAGGGTGTGGTCATCACAGATGTCTGTTTTAACCCCACGGAATACACAGAGACGTTCCACAAAGCACTCCCTTGTTCCCTGTGCTACTGCATCTCGCCTGCAAATAGCACGCACTGCTCTCTCTCACAAGCGCGCGGCTCTTTCGCCCGCTGTCACCATCCACCCATTCTCTGCCCAACCCCAGCCCCTCCCCTCCTGTGCCATCGCTCACTCTCCCTTTCCCCTCTCCCCTACTCCCCATCCCTGTTCCCCTAATCCAACACCCCCCCACCCCTTCCTCTCTCTTGCCCCTCTTCTTTACAGCACAAGCATGGGCAGGGGGCAGGGGCGCGTGCAGGGGGAAGGGGCGCGCGCAGGGGGAAGGGGCGCGCGCAGGGGGCAGGGCGCGCGCAGGGGGCAGGGGCGCGGGGAGCTCACCGTGGCGGTACATGGGGAGCCCCGCCTTGGGCAGCAGGTGGCGCGCGCGCAGATACCCCCACATCGCCTTGCTCGGCCGCCCACACCGCTGCCTCAGGGGCTGGGGGCGGGGGAAGGGAAGAGCGGATGGAGCGGGGGAAGGAGGGAGGAGATGCGAGGAGAGGAGGAAATGAGACAATAAGGATGAACGGAGGAGGGGGAATGGAGAAGGGCGAAGGTGAGTGAGGAGGGCGGGCGGGGGGAGCAAGGGCAGTAGCGCAGCACAGCAGTTTCATGGCGGAGCAAAGGGGGCAGGGCGCGGGAACCGAGGGCTGGTAGCATTGCTCTAGTGAAGTGGTAGCATTGCTCAAAATAACACGGTTTGGAAGGGTTTAACCTGGGCTAAGTGATTGACTCATCAGGACATGGCGTTCTATCAAAAGGCTTCAATCGGGGTTTAGGGTTTTTTCCTCAGTACAGTCCATGACGAGGGAACAAATGCACACGCAAGACTCCTCGCATCCCCTGCCCTCAACGTCCATCAGCCATTCATTGAGCTCATTAATTCTCTTTGTCTCTCCTGCATGATTCTAGTGATGGTTTGTTGTGGAAGGAATCTAGCTTGACACATTCATACTGTTCTTGTTTTGTGTGTGCGACACAGGCAACGCCTCCTTCACCTCCCTCCATGCCAATCCCCCACCCTTCCCACCTCACCATAGCACCCCTCCAATAAAACCCCTTCCTTCCCCTCTCCTTGCCCCCTCTCCCTCCCACCGTGCCCTTCCCGCCCCAGCACGAACCAGCACGAGGCGGTCGGCGAAGAACAGCTCGCCGTCCTTGAGCACGTGCGGGTTCAGCTTGTCCACGCGCACGCCCAGCAGCTCCGTCGCGCCGTACGCGCTCATCTGCTGCGCCTGGCTCAGCGCGTGCTGCTGCCGGTGCCCGAACGCGACGGGCACTCGGCGCATGGCGGGCAGCACGGCGTCGAGGGAGACGAAGAGCGGCAGCACGTCCAGCAGGAACGACCGCGGGCTCCACGCGAACCAGTCCACCAGCGACACCAGGTGCCGGTACCGGTGCACCGTCGTGGCGGCGCCCGCGGCGTAGTGGAAGGGGCGGTCGGCGGCGCAGCTGTTGTCGTCGAAGAGGTGCGTGCGGTTGAACACCTGCCCCGCCACGTTGATGTACACGTTGTGCAGCACCACCACCTGCGGGTGCGGGAGGGGAAGAGGGGGGAGGGGAAGGGGGTGAGGAGTGGAGGGCGAGAGAAGGCTAGTGGATGACTGGAGCCTGGAAGGGGCAGGGGTAAAGAGGAGGGCGGTGAGCCATGACAGCCAGAGTACTGCCTTGCCACGGATTTGTTGAATCACGTGTGGGCTGGACTGAATATACGCGTGCTTTTTCTTTCTATGCGCCTCTGAACAAGTGTGTTGCGGAGTGGTATGCCTGCCAGGGTCTGTGTTCGCCAGCGCTCTCACTATTCAACGGCCCAACCCCATGTGTCACCACGCACCTGCGCGGACCACTTCTCGTGCGGCTGGAAGTCCATGTCCTGCACGCAGCTCGGGTTCAGACTCCCGCAATTCACGGGCTGCGACGCCGGTACCTGCGCCACGTCTTCTAGCGGCGGCCCGTGCCAGCACGACGCGATTCCCGGGTAATTCTCGTACGAGTGCTCGAACTCCGGGCACAGCGAGCCACGTGTCACCTCCAGAGGCGGATCCATTTTATCCGCGCCTTCCTTCCCGAACCGAGTCGCATCTAGGAACACGTGCTTCATGGACTTGTGAGATAACGTAACCATGAGAGGTCGGTGCTTGGGTTTTCTTAAATCTATATCGAAGGACCCGTTAACGGGACCCCATTTGGCGTTCGGCCCCTCCCGCAGCGGCTTCTGCCGCTTCCGCGGAGCCGCCTCTCCGCGCTTGCCCTCCTCCGCGCTTTCCTCATCCGCTTCCGCGCCATCTGCGGCGGCGCCAGCTCCCTTCACCACCGCCGTGACGGCGTCTCCCGCTTCTTCCTCTTCCGCCTCGCCTCCGCCTACTCCCGCACCGGCGGCAGCCGCCGCGGCGGCCGCAGCGGCGGCGTCCTCGAGGGCCTTGGCGGCGGACGGCTCGAGATCCGTCGCCGTGGTGATAGGCCTCTCATTCCCCCTGCCCGCGCCCATGCGCGCCCCTGCTGTCGCCATTCTCGATCCTCTCTCGCTCGCCTCCTCCGCGCCTCGCGCCGCGCTCAGCCGCCCTTCTTTTATCGAGCTCACGTCCGCCAGATCACGTGGCACGCCGAACTGCCCCTCCCCCTCGCGATCCTCCCCCGGGTCCTCTCCCCCAAGCCCCCCAGCGGTTCCTTCAGGCGCGCTCTCCCCGTCGTCGGAACCGCTGCCCGCTGAAAGAGAGAACGTCGGGATCGTTGACGCAAATGCCGATTCCTCGTTTGCCGCCTCCTTCGTCGCCGCGGATCCCGCAGGTTGCGCATCTCCTCGTAGGCTCGCGTGCCGCTGTTTAATGGACTCGATGAGCGCAGCGCCCGCGCTGCCAGATTGGTTGGTGGAAGCCCAGACGAGCACGCAGATGGTCGCGATCACTATGAACAGTACGCATCCTCCGCAGCGCCGGCCCGCGCCGTCCGTGCCGGGTGGCTGCTTCCGCGGGGCGCGCTGAGTGGCCCTTCTGCGGGGCTTCATTGGGATCGACTTGAGTTGGGCTAGCGCGATACGAAAAGCGCCAGCCCGCTACGATTGGGCAAGGGGTGATAGAATGTGGGCGGGAGAAGCTATGCTGGAAAAGATCGTGTCCACATGACACGTCAGGGTGAAACCAAACCAGCACGGAAAGGCTTCGAAAGAGCTTTGATATATAATGTGTTGTGCTAAGAACGAGAAATCGCCCCGTCGTTGGTCAAGAAAGTATACAGAGGCTACAACTTTGACTCCTTGGGGAAAGCGCCATGGCGGAAACAACGAATCCAATCGAGTTTGAGGACGAGCGTCGTCGGATTGATGCCTCAAAACGAGGTGGAAGAGAGATTCTGCAACTCCCTAGATATGGGAGAAGTGGTTGGGTAGGTGGAGGAGGCGGAGGCGACAGCCCCTGGGGGTGTCAGCAGAAGTTGTCAGGTGGGTGTAGATTAGGCGAGGAGTCTTCGATCGGAGGTAGGTGGGTGATGGGGCTTTGCGTGGCGTGGCGTTGATGCGGGACAACGCAGAGCGGTCTGGGGCGAGGCTAGCCACTGCACGTGAGAGAAAGCAGGACCTGTTCAGCATGCCACCTGTGATTCTTGTTCATCCTGCTACTCGCTACAAGCCTGGACGACACAACAACATTCGATATTGAAAGGGTCAGGTGTGCCAATCACCTGTATCCCCCAAAATGCAGGTGGGTGGAGAGGTGATAGAAAAATCATTAAGAATATTATATTTCTTAATCCGTGCATCTCCCGTTAATAATACAATTTCCATATGAAGACAATTTTAGCCAGATAAGGACAAATTGTGCTTGAAAGCATATTGGATGGGTTATTTTGTTGGAGGTTCTTGGGCTGAGTTCACAAGCCCAGGCATTGCAATGCATTATCATTGATAACATTCAGCTCTTCATGATGCCACTGTTATGTCTTTGGCAAATCCATCTGTGAGTGTTAACAAATGGTACCCCTAACAATTCTCGCATCGCAATCATCGAACTACGTGACTCTTGGACCTCAAGTCCAAGAAAACCAGGGGGTATGAGATATGCAGAGACAGAACCAGCGGCCTCAGCAAAAGGCCAGTGTGCATGCAAACCTTTGGGCAGGTAATGGCGGTTGGCAATGGAGAACAGGACAACTCTCTAGGAACGAAGGTGCCGCCTGTGAATCGTCATGTGAGCTTCCTGGACAACTAGTGGCATAGTGAAAAGGAGGTAGCTAGGCTCAGGAAAAGTTTTGCTTCAAGGGATAGCGACATTGCAAGTGGCAATGAAAAGGCAGACAGGGAAGGGTACAAAGAGGAGGATGAGGCAGAAAGGGGGACGAGGGAGGGAGCGTGAGACAGAGGGAGCGAGACAGGATGGGGGTTGGTGGTGGACGGAAGTGAGAGGAATATGTCTGGCAGCGCTTCACTCTATTGGCCTGCACCCCGACCACATGCACGCACGGCCCATGCGTGTCATGATGATGGCGCAGCTGCTTTGGGCCTCCTTCCCCTGCAACCAGCAGCGGGTTCACCCACCAAGCGGAAGAGACAAATGTACACATAAGGAGGGGGGGGGGCAGGGGGGAATGCACGGGGTGAGAGGCAGCCCACCAGCAGCAGCAAGCATGCCTCATACGGTGATAATTCGGGAGAAGAGGATGGGAAAGCGGGGAGAGGAGGAGGGGGAACTGGATGCACCATGCATGTGTGCAGACTTGTACAGTTGGCTAAAGAAGAGGCAGGAGATGGAAGAGTATGAGGGTGGAAACGGTATGCGTGGAAGAGGATGCCCATATGTGCCCAGGGGTTCACCAGCGCATGCACAGGGATGACCTCGACGGATATGCCAAAGGTCGTAACGCTGCCATGATAAATCGACTCAGAATGCTGCCTGTCCCACTGCAAGCTAGCATTCATCAAGCAGCCCAGCACAAAGGTAACATTTGCAACTGCTGATCCAGAGTTGTGTGCTGGAACCGTAAAAAAAAAGGTGTTGGCTACCATGTCGCAAGAAGCATTGGGGCAAGTGCAGAAGAAGTGGAACATCTGCGCATTGCAAGTGCAGGCAAACCACGTCCAGTGCGAATAGCAGGTGCGTGCACCAACTCAAGCATCATGCAATGGTAGCAGCACACATACCTCCTCCCGCCCTTGACCACAGAAACCATGTCTGTGCATGCCTGCCTGTTGTACACGCCATTACCCCACCCACTGCGTGTCCCACGTGTGACATGCCATCCCCCTTACATGATCACTCCACTGCAGCCAACTCATTCCACCATCCACAGTCTCTTAAACTCTTCCTCCGCCCTAATGCCCCTGCTTCCGTTCTAGCAATGCTTCATTTACCACATTGCTTGTAGCCGCCCTGCACGCTTAGACACCGACAGACGTGCGTGACTATTCAGTGTGTGCACCCTTAGACAGCAGCACTACCAGCGACGCACCTCCTACTAATCCGCGCTGCCACTCTCGTTTAACCCCCCTGACCGCTCCCTCACTCATACAGCAGCATTTCCCATCTCCCTCCCCGATCCTTGCGCTCACCTCTTCCCCTTGACGGGCGCAGGCAGTGCCACGCGGAAGCGGCGCTCGAAGACGCGGTCGCTGCACCCCAGCATGGCGCGCAGCGTCTCCCCTCGCCCCCCGCCCACGCCGCTCAGCGCCTCGTACCGCCTTTTGATGCGCCCCGTCAGATTGCACGACAGCACGGCGGGCCACTCCGCGATCTCCCGCAGATCCCTCCCCATCACCCCCGTGATATACTCTATCTTCCCCGCCGTCTTGTCCCACTTCCGCCGCAGCAGCGACGGGTTCGCCGCCGCAATCACCGTAGCCGCCGCCTCTTTCCCCTCAAACCGCCTAATCAGCTGCACAATTGGCTCCCGAATTGCCTGGGCGGGCAGCGCAAGAACCTGCGGGCGCGCGCCAGCAACAAGCGCGGCGCTGGTGGGGCCTAGTAGCGCCTCCAGCTGCGCGTAGGTGGCTTCCGCGGTGCCCGCGGGAGCGAGGAGCAGCGGCGGGAAGTGCTCGACGAGCGGAAGCACATCAATCGCTCTCCGCAGCTTCAGCAACCGCCGCAGCGCCTCCAGCTTCGCGGAAACATCCGACCGCCCAAACCCCAAACCCGCCCCCGCAGCAACAGCCTCCGCCCCGCACAATTCCCCGTCCACCACCACTCTTCCGCCGACTCCCCCCAGCAGCGCGGGGTTGCGCTCGAGCGCCATGCCCACATCCGCGCCGAGGCGGAGCTCCGTGCGGAGAAAGGCGGCGGTGTCCTCTAGGGTTTCGACGGACTGCGTGAGGACGTGCGGCGACACGGATATGACTCGCGCGAGGTTGTTGACTCCCAGATCGCGATCCAGAAACTGCAGCACGCACTGCGCGTGGCTCGCGGGCGTGCCCAGCCAGTCCACGGATTGCGCGATGCCCTTGAGCATAGCGGGGGGCGTGATTCTAAACGACGACAGCAGCACCGCCATGTCCGCCGCCGCCGCGCCCACGTCCCGGTAGATCAGCTCCGGCTGCGCGCGGAACAGGCGGACTATCTGCCCGCGCTTCGCGCCGACGGACAGCAGCGCGTGCGCGTTCGCCTTCACGGCGGCCGCCGCCGCCGCCGCACTGCTGCTGCCGCTGCTGCCGCTATCGCTCCTGGCGTTACCCAGGCCGCGCATCTCGGCCCCGAAGCGGTCCTCTAGAGTACTAAGCAGCACGTCCAGATCGCCCTCTTGCACCTCCCGCAGCACTCCCGTGAACCCCCCGTCCCCTCCCTCCCCGCCCGCTCCGTCTACTTCCCCGCCTCTCACACCCTCTTCCCGCCCGCCGCCGAGACCCCCGCCCCCATCAGCTATCCCCTTCCGCAATCCTCCTTCCGCGCCCGCGTGCCCCGTTGACGCGGCTCCGGGGCTGGCGGAAGAGCGGGATGGGGGGGAGGAGGGGGAGAGGTGCGCGGCAACACCATTGGAAGCTGTCGCGGCTACCCTAAAGCGAATCTGTCTTTTTCTGGCAACAGCGGACGATTCATCCACGTGGCAACATCCCAGAGAAGGTCGAACGCCCTTCAAAAAGGCTGTGCGGCACGAGACGTTAAACCCTGCAGATCGCGAATTGGGCGACCCTGGTCTTTTCGTTTGGCATCGGCTCCACAAAGCGGCAGTCCGGTTGGGAAACGACGCTGCTGAAGCGCTGAAACAATCAGAACCTGCGCACGATTGCCCCCGGAACGTCGCACGGCTGGCGTATCTGCAGGAAAACCTTGACGGCGGCAAGGAGAAGACGGCGGATCCCCATGATGTCGCGTTGGCGGAAGGGTGCGGAGACAGCAGCAGCGCGTCCTGGTGCAGGCCCGATGTTACTGAGAGGGAGCCACCTCTCACTGGCGGCTGCACGCTGCAACACGTGGCAGTTGTCGGTTGGGAGACCGACGCAGTGGGCGCGGCAGCAGAGCAGGGTTGTCGGGTTGAGGAGGACGAGGAGAGAAACGAGAGAGAGGCTGAAATGGTTGTCGCGGACGAGTTGGTGGCGATGACAGCTCGACTAGCTGATATCGCGAAACAACGATCAGGTCCCATGGTTGGTCATGCGCTGAAAAAACTTGCTCGAATGGCCCAGAAACAAATCTGAACGCACGTGGCGTTGATACTTTCGGAAATCTGACGGCACGAGAGTACGTCGACGACCAGCAAAGCAGGTAATTCGATTAAGATCGTCGACGTACTAAGGGTCAAGGTACACGAAGAAGAATAAAGCAGGCGTTCCTCATCTGTGTGACAGGATCTGTGACCTTGGCGCATAGATTAGTGCGCATAGTCTAACAGCAGCACACAAACAAAACAGTGAGTGACCCTTCCCCCAACATGAGCTGCCTCGGATATCACGAGGTGGTAGGCTCCCGTTCGGCTCAGTTTAGTTCACAGCCAACCCCAGGTTCGAGTTTGATACAAGCTGTGCCAGCGGATCAGGTGAAACGATCGATGTGACCCATTCTCAAGCTCGATTGCAGAGTTGGAACGGTTTCTGATATGAACGCGCCAGGGAAGAAAGGATTGAAAACATGTCTTGCAGGGAAAGTTCGAAAAGATGCATTGCTCTAGTTAGGGCCGTTACAAGTTCCAAAATCATGGAATCTAGGCTTTAAAGCTGCGGTCTACATACTTCTGGGTATTTTCTGGGGGTATTTCTATTGCACACCCTTTGACACACGTTGATTGGCTTGCGAAGAGGCTCTCTTCCAGAACAGTGCGTGCGACACAGTGAAACAAGACTTGGCGGAACTACTCAGTTTCGCTAGGGGCGATGGGTTGGGAAAACAGACTCAAGCGAATCTGTTGTTATTTCGTGAGGGGGGGAGGTTTGGGGTTAAGGTTAAGGTTATATATTGATCGTAATCAATGTACAAAGAGTAATCCATAGAGCAGTCTAGAAACATGGCCGAGGTGGCCAGCATCCACAGCGGAGCACGTGGAACACACGTTATTCCTTGTCCTCGCGGACAACCGCCAGCTGCCTGGGGAGACGCTCTATGCGATGGGTGACTATGGTGGTCGGAACGGATTTCCCAAGAGCCAGGAGAACCTTAGGTCGGGGTGGATAGAGGGTGTGCCGGTCCTGTCGAAGAGGAGAAATCGGAGTTTCTGTGCTCGCTTGATGCTGGATGATATACGTTGACGCTTCTTGGCCGATTGACGTTTGCCTCTCCACATATAGATTTTGAAGGCGATTAGGAACTGGGCTAAGATGAGCTGCAGTATCTCGAAGCTCGAGGAGGAGGAATTGCGGTACCTGTGGTCACAGCGACTATTCCACAACGTCTTGGCTGCAGCTCCTACTAGTAAGCTCCATGGGGGGGACTGTCCAACCCGTGACTGTATTGGGAAGAAGATGTGTTCGGCGGGGGAGGTTTGTCCGAGGTGACGATCAGCGACTGTGCGCAGAGCAGAGATGACATTTCCGGCGGAGGCGCATTCGAAGAAGATATGCGGCAGTGTCTCTACAACGGCAGCGGGACACCGGGGACACACCTCTCGGTCGTCAAAATATTGGAAGCGTGATCCAGAGGGGAGAGTTAGTGTGTAGAGTCTGAAGAGGATATCCCGTTGGCGGCTCGGCTGGTCTTTGAGAAAGGGGTCCTTGAGGCCAGGGAGAGGAGGAGAAGGAAGGGTGAAGTCTCGGGTCCATCGACTGTGGTGAGTAAGTGGCTGTGTGGAGTAAAGGAGACGGCGGATGTCGGCGAGGCTGGGGATGCCGTCCTGTAGAAGTTCTACCCTAGCTCCTAACCCTGTCCCTGTATGAAGTGGCCCTGCGAGCCACCATTCCCTGACGTACACCTCAATGAGGTCCTGTAAACGGAAGAGTCCGGTATTGATTGGGGTACGGCCGATGCGATGGTTGGGCGAGACGGGGTGGACAGTAGCCTGTTAGAATATATCTGTAACTGCCTGTAGCTGTAGTTAGTGTAGTTATTGCTTCATTGTTGGTGGTGCACCTCTTGTTCTTGTTCTCTCACCTATATGTTCCTTCTTTGCTATAGTGAAACCACCCTTTTGCCTCACCAATTTCCTCGACTCTCTTTGGCCTAGGCTACTAAGCCTAGGCCCTACACCTACTATCTCAACATGGTATCAGAGCAGGCACTTTCCTGCTGCCTTCCTTAATGGGCCCATCAGTCTGCTTCCGTTGCCTGTCGTCCTGTCGCGTGCCTCGGGCGCGCGGCGTTTGATTTTCTGCCCGCCGTGTGCTCGTTGCGCACGGCGGTTTTCTGCCCGTCGTGCGCAACGGGCACGCGGCGTCTTCCTGCCCCGCGCGTGGCCTGCCCTCACGCCGCCTGCGCGCCTGCCCCACGTCCACGCGCGGGCCTGTTCTGCACGCCCGTACCCTGCCCTTCGCGGTGCCCTGCGAGGCGCCGCTCCTACTCGTCGCGACGCCCCTGCGGGACCCGCGCGTCGCCGCTCCTGCTCGTCGCGACGCCCCTGCGGGACCCGCGCGGCGTCGCCCTGCTCGTCGCGACGCCCCTGCGGGACCCGCGGGGCGTCGCCCCTGCTCGTCGCGGCGCCCCCTGGACGCCGCCCCTGCTCGTCGCGGCGCCCTGGGGCGTCGCCCCTGCTCGTCGCGGCGCCCCCTGGGCGCCGTCCCTGCTCGTCGCGGCGCCCCCCCCCCTGGCCGCCACCTCCTCTGCGCCCGCGCCTCCTCTGCAGCTGCGTGCGGGCCTGCCCTGCACCAGCGACACCGCCCCTGGAGCAGCCGCCCCTGGACCCAGAGCAGCCGCCTCTGGCCCCTGGAGCAGCCGCCCCTGCCCCCTGGAGCAGCCGCCCCTGGTGCAGCCGCCCCTGGACCTCGCGACGCCGCCCCTGGACCCCGCGACGCCGCCCTTGGACCCCTCGGTGCCGACCTTGCAGCTGCATCCGACGCTGCTCCTGGCCCCTGGAGCAGCCGCCACTGCAACGGCAGCCCCTGGCCCCTGGACCAGCCGCCCCTGCAGCAGCCGCCCTCGTGCGCTCTGCTCTGCCCGCGCCCTCGTGCGCTCTGCTCTGCTGCTGCCCGCGCCCTCGTGCGCCCTGCTGCTGCCCGCGCCCTCGTGCGCTCTGTCTCACCCGCGCCCTCGTGCGCTCTGCCTGTGCTGCCCGTTGCCGCCTGTTGCTGCCCGTGCCTGTGCTGCCCGTTGCCGCCCGTTGCTGCCCGTGCCTGTGCTGCCCGTTGCCGCCCGTGCCTGTGCTGCCCGTTGCCGCCCGTTGCTGCCCGTGCCTGTGCTGCCCGTTGCCGCCCGTTGCTGCCCGTGCCTGTGCTGCCCGTTGCCGCCCGTGCCTGTGCTGCCCGTTGCCGCCCGTTGCTGCCCGTGCCTGTGCTGCCCGTTGCCGCCCGTTGCTGCCCGTGCCTGTGCTGCCCGTTGCCGCCCGTTGCTGCCCGTGCCTGTGCTGCCCGTTGCCGCCCGTTGCTGCCCGTGCCCGTGCTGCCCGTTGCCGCCCGTTGCTGCCCGTGCCTGTGCTGCCCGTTGCCGCCTGTTGCTGCCCGTGCCTGTGCTGCCTGTTGCCGCCCGTTGCTGCCCGTGCCTGTGCTGCCCGTCGCCGCCCGTTGCTGCCCGTGCCTGTGCTGCCCGTTGCCGCCTGTTGCTGCCCGTGCCTGTGCTGCCCGTTGCCGCCCGTTGCTGCCCGTGCCTGTGCTGCCCGTTGCCGCCCGTTGCTGCCCGTGCCTGTGCTGCCCGTTGCCGCCCGTTGCTGCCCGTGCCTGTGCTGCCCGTTGCCGCCCGTTGCTGCCCGTGCCTGTGCTGCCCGTTGCCGCCCGTTGCTGCCCGTGCCCGTGCTGCCCGTTGCCGCCCGTTGCTGCCCGTGCCTGTGCTGCCCGTTGCCGCCTGTTGCTGCCCGTGCCTGTGCTGCCTGTTGCCGCCCGTTGCTGCCCGTGCCTGTGCTGCCCGTTGCCGCCTGTTGCTGCCCGTGCCTGTGCTGCCCGTTGCCGCCCGTTGCTGCCCGTGCCTGTGCTGCCCGTCGCCGCCCGTTGCTGCCCGTGCCTGTGCTGCCCGTTGCCGCCTGTTGCTGCCCTGCTCTGCGCTGTTGCCCTGCACGCGCGGCTGCCCTGCCCGTGCCTGTGCTGCCCCTGCTCTTCCCCCCCCCCCCCTCCTTCTTCGTCTCCCTGCTGCGCGTGCAGCCGTGGAACGGAGGCTATGGGGGTGGCGGGTATGAGAGTGGTGGGTGTGTGTGATCCCCTTCCCCTCCTCCTCCTTTCTCTCCCACTGCTGCAGCTGCCGCTGGGGGGGGGTGGGTGTGAGGGTGTGGGGGAGCTGGGGGAGAGGTGCTAGGGTTGTCGAGGAGTGTGGAAGGGGGATTTGGAGGACTGGGGAAGGTTCCAGGAAGCAGCCGCCTCGGAGCCAGCAGCTTCACCTGCCAGCAGCTTCTCCTCATATAGTCCCTCCTCCTCCCGACTCCCTCTCTAGTTCAGCCTCTTGCCTCTGTTTGCTGTTATTTGGCTTTACTCTGCTTGGTTTTACCCATTCATGAGGTGTTGCTGCACAGACTCCTGCTGCAGGCAGTTATGGGGGAGTGTTAGAATATATCTGTAACTGCCTGTAGCTGTAGTTAGTGTAGTTATTGCTTCATTGTTGGTGGTGCACCTCTTGTTCTTGTTCTCTCACCTATATGTTCCTTCTTTGCTATAGTGAAACCACCCTTTTGCCTCACCAATTTCCTCGACTCTCTTTGGCCTAGGCTACTAAGCCTAGGCCCTACACCTACTATCTCAACATAGCCGAGACGGTAGAGGGGGGGATGAAAGCGACGACCTGGATAACGAGGTGAGATATGGAGTAGTGATCATCCGAGAGCATGAACCAATCTCCGGGGGAGGCAGAGGATGAGTGAGGGGATCGGAGGCCGGCCCACCAGGGAGGCTTGATAGCCTTGATGAGATCTGGGAGGAGACGTGTGGCGTCGTCATGGAATTCTGCCGGGAGTTGGGAGCAGAATTCCTGAGCGGAGATGGGGCTGACGTCGAAGTTGGTGATGCGGACAATGTGTCCGATGCGGAGTTGTCGTGTAAGAAGGAATCGCTCGTGTTAGCGGGTGCCGAAAGGTCTCTCGTCGGGTTTGAGGAGCAGCCGGTTGAAGGCGAGAGGTTCGGTAAGGATGCACTGCATGCGTAGGGGTGGGCCATGGATAACTAGGGGGAGAGCGAGGAGGGCTTGAAGTTCATCCAGTGCCCGCGGGGGAATGAAGGAGGGAAGATAGTCTTGTTCAAGGATGGCCTTATGGGAGAGCAGACCATGTAGCCCGAAGGGGAATGGGGTCAAGGTCCGAGTGACTTCCTCGGATGGAGTGGGTCCAAATCTGTGTAGTGCACGCTGGATAGCGAGTGCTTTGATTTGGGTAGATGGGGCGATCGCACCAACCCCACCGTCTTGGGGTGAGTTGTAAAGGAGGCCGTTGGGGAGGAAGCGTTGTGCGAGGCCGTCTTGTTTATGTTTTGAGGAAGAGAGGAAGTTCCCGACTGATATGTCGATTCGTTTGATGATGATCGGCGGTGCAGGTAGCGGCTGGGATAGGAGATGACGGAGTTCAGAAAGATCGATGAGAGAGATTTGCGGCATGTGACAGTGGCATGTAAGGCCGCCAGGAATTTGACGGTGTTTTGTATGCGGGCAAGGGCCTTAGTCCAGGTGGTGGATCTAGGGTGTAACCGTTCAACATAAATCCCAAGGATGCGTTCTGCTTCGCCGGGGGCTCGGACGGGGATAGGCCCGGCATGCGCAAGGTCAGTGGGGTTGATATTGAAGGGAATAATGGAACATTTGTTCCAATTGGGTACCTCCCCAGACACGGAGCCGAAGACGCCGAGGAGTATCACTGCGAGGCCGAGCTCTGTGTCTGAGGTGAGGAAGAGAGTGACATCGTCTGCGTAACATGCCATGAGTCGGCGCTGGACGGGAGACAGAGCGAAGCCGAGTAGGAAGAGGGACATGTATCGGTGGAAGATCTCTATGACACAGACGAAAAGGAGAGGTGCCAGAGGACAACCCTGTCGGACGCCTGTGCGGACGGGGAAGGTGGGGCCGAGCATGTTGTTGACGGAGATTCGTGTGGACGTGTCGGAGTGCATTATTCGTACCCAATGAATGAAGGGAGCTGGAATCCCTAGGACCGCTAAGGCTTGGAGGAGGAAGGGGCGGTCGACCAGGTCGTAGGCCTTTCGAAAGTCTACCGTAAGAGCGAGAAGAGGGTTTGACGAGAATGCTGCCCAGTCCATGATATCTAGGGTATCGTTGATTGTGTCTCCAATTTTCCTGTGTTTGATGAAGGCGGTTTGGGATGGGTGGATGAGCTGGGGAAGAACGAGCTGGAGGCGGTTAGCAAGACACAGCGCGAGAACCTTGTAATCAGCGTTCATGAGGGTGATGGGGCGAAGATTTTCTACGAGCGAGGAGTCACCCCGTTTGGGGATGAGGACAGTGCGTCCGGTCAGCATAGACGGGGGTAGGCGAGAGGGAGGTTGTGGAGGGGAGAGCAGGGAGTGGAAGACCTGTGCAAATCGCGGGGCGAATTGCCAAAAGAGTTCCCCGGGCAAACCATCTGGGCCGGGGGTTTTTCCTCGGGACAGAGAGAGCAGTGCTTTTCCAATTTCAGCTAGGGAGAAGGGGGCACCGATTCGTAGGAGTAGGGGATTCGGGATGGAGGAGGGAGGGATGTGTTGCCAGAAAGCCGTGTTTGTGGTGGCGGGGGTGTTTCCGCTGTAAAGTGTCTGGAAGAAATTGGAGCAGTGGTTCGTCATGGTGGGGAGATCCGACGTTGTTTGTCCATTAGGTAAGGTCAGGGAGCTGATGATCGAGCCCTTGATTCGCGAGTTGAGGCCAGAGAGAAGGGAGGAGACTCCCATTTCCCTGTGCCCTTCCACTTTAAGCTTGGCCTTGAGCGCAATTTCGGAGGCCTTTGAGGCTTCATACCGGGCCAGATGGAGTCTTGCTTGGTCAAGGCGGTTAGACTCGGCCTGGGTTAGGGGCGTATACGCAGCGCGTTGTTGAAGTGAGCCGATGGTGTGTTCCAGATGTGCGACTGTGCCATCAACTCGGCGCCTTTCCTGGTTGGAGAAACATTTGAGGTTAAGGGTGAGGTCGAGCTTCCATGAGTCCCAGGAGTCTGGGGAAGGGGTGCTTGGGAAGACTGCGAGGCAAGAGTCGATAATTTGAGAGACATGAGGCGCATAAGTAGATGCTGTCGGAGGCGCCAGGGTCGGGGGGCAACTGTGGGGTTGATGAAGCTAAGCGAGCAGAGAGGGGCGTAGAGGTGGTCCGTGATTGCCGTGCGGGTCTGGATGTACGGACTTGCAGTGAGGCGTGATGTGAAAGCTCGGGAGATGTATATTCTGTCGAGTCGGGAGGAGGTAGGGGGTGTCGCAGTGTTGAGACATTGCCTCCCGTAGAAGGAGAAGACGTTGGTCGGCGTGGGGAAGAGTTCGCGGAAGGTGTCGAACAGGGCGTGGTTTTCCATGAGTTTGGCGAAAGCGGCGCCCTCACGAGCCTCGAAGTCTTTGGGAGGGCGATTCCTGTCGATGGGAAGGACGACCGAGTTGAAGTCTCCTGCTAGCATGGATGCGGAGGCGGCGGTGGGGGCTTCCAGTGCCGGGACGAATGTGGAGGTCCACCATACTCTGCGTCCGTAGAATTGTGTGGGGGTGTAAATGGCGATGAGGCGGATTTGCTCACGCAGATAGTTAAGGTGTACAGTGATTAGTCTGCCGTCTGCGGAGGGGGTTGGAGAGGACAGTGAGATAGCCCTGTTGAAAGAGAGGATAGAGACCCCGCCGATGAGCGTGGGCTTCCCTGTGGCGCTCTCGGTAGAGAGAAGTGCTGGAGCGTGAGCGGAGGAGTGAGGTCGAAGTTTTAGGTCGAGGTTGGGGATTCTGTCGATGAGCCGGGTGTCTATGAGTATGACCAGGTCAGTGGGGGCAGGAAGTCTCGAGAGCCACGACTTAAGCTCATCCATTTTGCGGGTCCCGTTGATTCCGTTCACGTTAACGCAAAGAGTGCGGAGGTGTGTTAACATGGCGATGACGTGAAGGCCACCGCACGGGAGATCGTGCGTATCCACGGCCTAGGAAGGAAGTTGTGACGGCCAGTGCTTGGAAAAGAGGCGAAGCCCGTGGAGTGCAGGGCATGGTGAGGGTCATGGTATCGTGGCGACATTTGGTTGCATGTCAGCGTGCGAAAGATGCGGAGTGTCTTCCAGAGCGGTAAGCGTATGGAGGGGGTGCTTATAGTAGTGTATGTGCGAAACTAGCTTTGAGTGAGCGTCACTGTAACTACCCCACAAGGCTGACAGGTGGAACAAAGCGGGTGCAGAGTGTGGCAAGGTAGCAGACAAATAGATCTTGGGTGCTAGTGAGTGGTACCTATGGTTGTTAAAACCAAAATATAGAATAGTGAACCCCGTCCTAGCTTGAAAGGGTCTTCCGGAGTGGGTTTGCAAAGCACTGTTTCAAACATTTCGTGTGTGCAGATCGAAGCCATTTGATTGGCTCCCGCCAAAAACGAAAATTTTGGGCCTTACACAAGGAGTCGCCTTCAACATGATGCACTCGCACGACGGCTGCACGGCGATCATTGCGATCGTTGGGCCCAACTCCAACTTCAAGCTGGACCTGGGTTCCACTACTTCTTTCCGCTCTAGTCTCTAGTTTAGCCAAGCTTAGAATAGCTGAAAACGTAGGCATTTTTGCCTAGGCAACTACCATTTTTATAAATTTAATCCTCATCCTTCTAGTGGCGAGGGATCTTACGTGCCGCGTAGCGACACTTGCCTCGAGATTATTCGGTTGAACGCGCTCGCCGCCGAAACGCCCTTTCGTCGCTCAGCTCATCACCTTCACATTCGCGAGGGATTGCCCTCGCGCCGGCCTTATTCCGTCCCCCCCGCCCATCACCCACCCCTTCGTATTCGCGCTTGCCTCGATACACTCTCTCGTCGCCCACCCCGTTTTTCCCATTTCGTCCCATCGCTTACACGCTCTCCCCTCCTGTCCTGCCGCCCTCTCTCTCGCCCCTCCCTTCCCGTCGCGCTCTCTCTCTCTCCGCGCCCTTCTCGTCGCCCTCTCTCTCGCCCCTCTCTTCCCGTCGCGCTCTCTCTATCCGCGCCCTTCCCGTCGCCTCCCTTCCCATCGCGCTCTCTCTCTCCCCTCCCTTCCCGTCGCCCTTTCTCTCCCCCCTCCCTTCCCATCGCGCTCTCTCTCTCAGCTCCCTTCCCGTCGCCCTCTCTCCCGTCGCCCTCTCTCCCATCGCCAGCACTCTCTCCTTCGCTCTGTCCCGTCGCCCTCTCTCCCATCGCCCTCTCTCCCATTGCCCTCGCTCTCTTCTTCGCTCTGTCCCGTCGCCCTCTCTCCCGTCGCCCTCTCTTCCGTCGCCCTCTCTCCCGTCGCCCTCTATCTCTCACGTCGCCCTCGCTCTGTCCCGTCGCCCACGCTCTCTCCCGTCGCCCCCGCTCTCTCCCGTCGCCTCGCGAAATTCTCTGCCGTCTCGTAGTAATATCGAACTTGCTATCCCCCTTTCCTGAAGCTCAAAGTATTAAGTGACGATATTTTTAGCTGCTGGCGGGGCGGGGTTAATCACCTGACGCTAAATACTTATGCAGCCAACTAGTTCTTCTATGTTTTCTTATTATAATAATAGGGACCCTAATTTCGTACAAATTTACCTCCCCTCCCGTCGATCCCTTCAGGTCCTTGTTCCCGTTCCCTTGGTCTCTCCCCTCCATTTCCGTCGCCCGTGCTCTCTCCCCTCTGTTCCCGTCGCCCTCGCGTTCTCCCCTCCCTTTCCATTGCCCTCGCTCTCTTCCCTCCCTATCCGTCTCCCTTGCTCTCTCCCCTCCCTTTCCGTCGCCCTCGCTCCACCTCATCTGACCCTCCCCCATGCCCCTCCCATCTCCCTACCATTCCGCAGATTTTGCTCACGCATCTCTCTTCCCGCGTCCTCGTTTCTGCTGCACTAAGTGTCTCTTCTCTCGTGCCCTGAAATTCTCTGTTTTTTTTCGCTTCTTGTTTTTCCCATGTTGTTATCGCCTCCCTTGCAGGCCCATGTCTAAGGCATTTGCTTTGCGTGCGTTGGGCTTGCTTTGCATGAATTGGACGTGCTTCACAATCCGAATTTGGCACTGGATATGAATGAGACTTGCGCATCACATGTTTTGAGCGACGCATTTGCACATGCTTGCGACGATTTTATTTGAGTTGAAGTTTGGAAACTCGATCAGCATCATAATGCGCCTGAAAAAAAATAAAGAAAAGCACTTCAACTTTCAAGTGGACCCAACTAGAAGGGGGGGGTCACTATTTTAGCTGCTGGCTTTAAAGGTTCGACCCCTTTTTCGGCTTTTGATATAAATAAGTGACAATGCGTTACCACTCAGTGTTGACAATTTGTATTGGGAGAAGTGTGAGGCAAGATACTGGTAGCAAAGTTTCAAACTAGATTCTTTACTGTTGGAAACAATCGGTCCTAAGCGCCTCTGTCGTGTCGAAACACTAAGACACAAAAGAAACGAAGTATAACGAATCACCGGCGAGTCAACCCTCGGAGGTTGAAAGTAACTGTTGGAGGTTACGCGAAAGTCAAAGGTCAGCGACCTTTGACCTGACAAAGTACAGCGCGACAGCAAGGACAAACAACTGACTCGGTATTAAGCAGTTGCCCGAGTCGTCACTGTATCGAACCGCAACAGCAATAGTAAAACGGTTATTAACTGTATCTCTTCGTATTCCTTGTACTCTTATAAAAGCTTGTATCTCTTTGTTTTAATCAACTTACTTTGCCCTCACATACTAGCGCAAGGTGGTTCACAACTCTTTAATTAACGCTTCCGCTACTACACCAACTCTACCCAGAGTTCACCCCTGCAAAGATCCTAAGGGTTTTTCAGCCCAACATGGTATGAGAGCTATCAGGGGGAATTCAACTTCTATACCGACAACATCAATAAGCATGGCTACACAAAAGGAAAGGAGCAACTCCAACGGCTCCCAGGGCACTACTCCTACTCCACCTCCTGCCTCTGGCCTACAGACAGAGGAGGGCACAGCAACAAGACCCAGAGCAACATCTACCGAGACTCCCG